CCATCAGCTGCTGATCTGGGCTGAATTTAAGGTGTTGGTTCTTTAACCTATAAAATCCTAAATATCTTGGACCCAAGCTATCTTGGTGTTTGTTTGGTGGGGACATGGGAAAGGGCCTTTTCTGCTGCCACTCCAAGAGGCTCAAACTCCCTCCCACAGGAGGTCAGGCTGACCCCCTCTTTGATGGCCTTCCACAAACAGGCAAAGACAACATGCAAGCTTCAGGCAAGCTTCGCCTCAGTGGACTGGCTGCCCGAGTGGGATTTTTTAAATAGATAGTTCTCCCTTACTGCTTTGAATGTGTTACTATGTTGCTTGTGTTTTTTAGTTTGGTACTTGTTTGATTCATTTTAGTATTTCTGTACGCACTGTTGTTCGCTTTAATATTCTCTCTAATGATGTAAAGCTGCCTTGAATTGTTTTAAGGAGAAAGGCAGGGTAAAAACATTTTAAATTAAAAAAAATCAAATAATAGTAGAAGCTGCCCCGGGCTCCTGGCCTCGCACAACGCTATGTAAACCAAGTCTACCCCGAGCCGCGTGTAAGGTTACATTGGAGTCACTCCCTCGTAAAGGAGCATGAGCACAGGATAACCAAGGCAATCATCTCTACTCCTCCCTTGTCGAAAAAAGAGCAAAGCCGTCTCCCTTTCCACCCAGTTCTCCTGTTCGGAGTCATAAATTTCCTCCACGCAGAGCGCGTGACGTCCAGCCCGGAGTTCGGCAGGTAGAGCGCAGGGGCAACGTCGAGTCCCCCCGACTGTTCGCAGGGCGCCCGGCGAGTCCCATCATCGAATCAGAAGGCGACAGACAAACTCGGGAGCAAGGAGGAGCAGGAAGCCCGCTTCCAACCGAAACGGTCCCCTTTCTGTCGGGTAACCCGAGGAAGCGGGGGCGGGAGAGGGAGAGCGCCGCTGGGCCTTTCAGTTCGTCGCTCTGTTGACGGTTGCCCAGGTAACGGGCGCTGCGGCTCGCCTGCGGGCGAAGAAGGGGCTCCCTCTCGCGCGCTGAGCTCCTCGCCCTCCATCATGAGCAATCAGCCGGTGCAAGGACTCCCCCTCCTGCCAGGCTCGTCCTTTCGGGACCCCACGGTGAGAGGGAGGAAGCAAACCCCCCCTTTTTCCTCCCTCCCTCCCCCGCCCCTTTCCCTCTCCCTCTCCCTCTCCCTTGAAGAACCCCATATTCCCCTCCCCTACACCATATTCCCCCGCAACCTTCCTCTGTCTCCTTTCGTTGCTTTCTTTTCTGTGTATTCAGACCCTTTCCTAGGACCTGCCTGGAAGCTCCAGATCTCCAAGTGGGTCTCCGGACAGAAGAGGAGACCCATTTGATCCAGAATTTCATGCACGGGGGGAAAGGAGATATTATAACGGGGGAGGGGGGTTGAACCTCCCAATGTGACAAAGGAAGACTTAATTGTTGCTTAAAACGGGGTAATGTTTGCATGGGGAGGCATGTGCGTTGTGGGTGTTTTCACAGTGACCTATTTGATAATCCCAGGCATGGAACTTCATTTTACCTAAATAAAATTATCAGACACACCTGCTATAGATAAGTGCCTAGAAGTAGTTTCAGCAGGCATTTGTTTCTTTTCTAGCTGTATTTCCTTCCAGGAACATAGCCACTGAAAATAAGGACAGTGGTCTGCACTTTTAACTATAGCATGGTAAAGATTGCTGCCTGAGTAATTCAGCCACATTTAAGGCTGTTCTGTTCTCTGACTGCTGAACATTACATGCATTTGATCAACAATTGCCAGTGCTGGATTGTTTTCTAAAGTGAGAGGACTGTACAGAAAACACCCAGTTTGGAAATTGTCAGTAGACTGCTTAATCCCACCATGGACTTGTTTGGGGAGGGTGTCTTTAACAGCTGCAACTCACATTCAGAAAAGTTGACTGTTTGGATGGGCACTCACTGAAAAAATTATGAACAGCTTTTCTTTTATTCAGGATAATTTATCCCCTAGGATAAAGGGATGAGTAAAATCCAGAACCTAAAGTGAATGAGGCCGCCTCTTTCTTCAATTTTTGCCAACACCTTTTTGGCTCTTCCTTTTGCACACTGTCTTAAGCTCTGGCCAATGGAGACAGCACTTGCCTCAAGTCTGAACCAACCAATATCAGAGGTCATTTGAAACAAGACTGCATAACATTTAATTAGTCACATGAGTTTCAAATCTCTGGTTGAAGTGTCTTTGTAATAAATTCAAAATCGATCTACCCCAGATCAGATGTTTATTTCTTAAGCTTATGAGTTTACCACCCACATGAGGAACTGGTATGTGAAGAACTTTGGTTTCCATGTGTGAACTGTGCACATTAACAAATTTATTTTTAATTTCAAAAAAACCTGAATACCACCTATGTACCATCTCTGTCATCAAAAGACAAACCATGTAGAGCATGCAGCTTATTAAACAACCAGAACAATTCTAAAATAAAAATGATATGACTAGTTATTGGCCAAGTCATATTTACAAGTCCTCCATACAGAGCACATTACCATAGTCTTTCAAGACTGAAGGATGCCTAACCATAGATTTGCAAGAATGAGTTTTTCCTTTTTGTAAATGAATGCATTTCCTTAGTATACTAGTTAAGAGCCTTGTGATGCAGGGGTTAAACTGCAGTATTCAAAACTCTACTCCCAACCTGTGTTCAATCCCAATAGATTCCAGTAGCTAGCCCAAGGTTGACTCAACCTTCCAGCCTTCTGAGGTTGGTAAATTGAGTGCCAGCTTGCTGCAGCATGGGGTGTACTGTTTAGCCTGCATAATTAATCTGTAAACCACCCAGAGAGTGCTTTATATGCTATATGGTAGTAAATTGGCCACACACACTGCTTTACCTGACATTATCTAACTCTTTATTTTCTTCCTTCAGAAAACTGCTTTTCATCGTTCTCAGACCCTGGGTTACAAAAACGGTTTTGCCTTTAAGCAACTTCCAAAAGTTGGGATTGGTGGGACTCGGATTAATGTAAACCAGCTATCTCAAGCGGAGCTGGATGAACTCTCCAACAAGAGACCCACATTAACATATGGTGAACCCAAGCAAGCCCCACCTTCAGACTTCATACCTGCACATGTGGCTTTTGACAAAAAGGTATTGTTCAAGAACATCCAGTTTCATAAATGGGAATGGTGATGTCTGGACAACTTAAGTATTTACTGCAGTTTCACTGTTTAAATACTTCAGACCTGAGCCTATGCTAGAAAACTGTTTACAAAGGCCTGGAAAGTCTTTTTTTGTTTTTCAAAACCAGCAAACATTTTCCTGCAAACTGGGTGAGTGCTCTAAGTATGCAGAACCTCCTATATTGTCTGTGGGTGACCTTGGTTCATGGGACCACTAAATTTAATATTAACATGAACAATATTAAAATGAACAATCCTCCCTCCTCCACTACAGTACCTGTAAATGAGTAACATCCTGTTCACCCAGCCTTGAACCTTAGTACTCTATTGCTGTAGTACAGGAAAACTCTGTTTAACTCCATTCTTGTCTGATACAAGGCAGAGAAGAGCATTTCTCCATCTCTTTCTCAACTCTCTCTATAGAATATTGGTAGAAAATTGGAATAGTGGAATGTTTGCTTCATGTTCCTTTCTCTACCCCTATCTTTGTCACCATCCCATCCTAGAATACTTCAAACTGTTGGGTGTTTTGCTCTTTTATTTTCAAAGGGTCTGAGCCTTTAGCATCCTTTTTTGGAAAGAATATGAGAGGGATGAGGACAGATGCGTTATGATGTGTTTGTCCTAGTTTACACTTTCCAAGGTATGGTGTTAATGAGCTCAAGAAGGACAATTGCTTCTCTGCACTCCAGTATTCTCCAGAGCATTATCTTGCACCCCTGGAGAAGACTCATCAAATTGTAGCCTAAGCTGAGAGTGGGACCTGAGACAGTGATTGTGGAATGGGGCAGGAAGTGGGATGGGAATGTTTTAAAAGTTGTCACAACTTTTATTGCTTAAAGCTTACAGAGTTTGATGTGGCATATGACAAGATCTTAAACCGTAACCTAGATGATTACTTTGTCACCATGTGCTGAAGTATCATCAGGAGTAACAAAAACCTCAAGGCCACCAAGCCATAAATTGATAAAGGAGGGGTTCTCCTTCAACCTAGGTATGCCAGATCCCAAGCTGGGCTGGATCCTTGATGGATTCCCCTCAAGATCCTTTTGGGGAACAGGCTGCCTGACCCACACTTGCCCTTGAAAAATAAACAGTCTAATAATGCCTTAGGTGTATATAACAGATTTAACAATAGCAGCAGTGTTGTTACAGAAGACAAAACTCCCACATTACACCGCTCAGTCACTTACACTGGTAAATTTTTTTCTTGGCCCCATCAGCTGGCATCTAACCTGTGTCTCTCTCCCCCATTATGTAACAGGAGCAGGCCAAAGGTCTGCTTGCTAAGCTTTACTTCTAGTAACAAATCAGCATTACTGATTGCTCTTTGAGGCTGCTCCTAGCCTGCAGCATGGCTGTGCAGTGGTCAGCTGCACCATAAGGACTGTCTACACCTCTCTTTGTTGTTGTTGTTGTTATAAAACACCAGGCACAGTCAAAATTATAAAAATATTGACTGGTATTATATAAAAGATACAATTTATAACCAAAAACCTAAGTATCTGTTAAATATTGGTGCAGTATGTATGCTGTTCCTAATATTGCAGTTTTTTTGTAGCTCTGATGGTGTGATTTCTGAAATCTGCAACTGCTTATAATACTGTGTGAAATTTCTTGCTATGGTTTCCAAAGCCCCAATGACTACGGGGGCCATTGAAGTGTGTTTCATCCACAAGCAAGATGTTTTGATCACCAGGTTTCTGTACTTTGTTAGTTTTTCCGATTCTTTATTTTCAACTCTAGCATCCTCTGGAATTGCAGTCTATGATCCATCAATATTTCTAAGGTGTTGTCCATGTATTGGTTTATTTTTCCAGCTGTTTAATTTATTTTCAAATTTTTGATTCTTATCTTGAGCCTTTCAAAATATTCTCCATTTTTACTGCTATCAGCAATTTTTCTCTGCTCGTACTGTTATAATCATTCAAGTTTCTTTCTTCTTCCTCTACTACTTGCTTTATTTGCAGTAATTTCATGGCCTCCGATTTTTCATGGTAAATATAATCTGTCCACATTGTTTTTTGGATGTAGTGTGTGATGCATGTTCATTAGTTTCCGTGTTTTTCAATCCAGTTCTTCTAATTTGTTTTGAGTCCAATCTATTATTCTAGCTCGGTATCTAATTAATTATTCTAGCTTGGTATCCAATTACTGCAACGGCCCATGTGTTTATGTCTTTGATTGTATTTCCCCCATTTAATTTTGATTTTAAGATTCTCTGCATTGTTTTGATATATTCTTTTTCTATCAGTTCTTTAACTTTTGTGTGCACAATGTTGTTTGCTTCTCGTGTTCCCAGGTATTTACAATTTTCATCACTTGATAGTGATTTTATAATATTGCCATTTTTTAACTCTATTCCATCGAGTTTTTGGATCTTGCCATGTTGTATAGACAGACCTGCACATTTGACAATTCCAAATTTCATATGGATATCTTCACTAAATATTTGCACTGTGATTAGCAGTGATTCTATCTCTATGGAACTTTTTGCATATAGTTTTAGGTCATCCATGTATAAGAGATGATTGATTTTTCCAGCTTGTTCTGAAATATGGTAGCCCAATCCAGTTTTATTTAAATTTATTGACATGGGGATTAGTCAGATGTTAAACAGCAGTAGCGGCAAAGAGTTGCCCTGAAATATTCCTCTTTTGGTGCTAAATAGCCCAATTACTTCACCATGGGCATTAAAATGGTTTCCCATTTTTCCATGTTTTTCTTGAGGAACTTCTGAATGTTTTTACTAATCCCAAACATTTTTAGCCAGGTGTTAATCCAATTGTGTGGCAATGAATCAAATGCCTTTTTATAGTCTGTCCAGGCCATGTTAAAGTTTGTTTTTTGTCTTTTTGCATTTTTCAGGATCATTTTATCAATAGCAGCTGATTTTTGTGCCTCTTGACTTTTTAAAGTTCCCTTTATGTTCAGTTGGGTATAGGGAGTTTTCAGTTAAGTATTTATATACTTATTATAAATTATAAGTATTTATATACTTATCTTGCAAGTACTCCTGTGAGGAGCTTGAACATTGTTGGAAAGCATGTAATTGGTCAATAATTACTGGGTTCATTGCTCTTTTGATTATCTTTTATTATCAGAAATATGTGGCCTGTTGTCATCCAGTCTTCAGTTGTAGAATTTTGAAGTAAGTTATTAAATTGCACTGCTGTGCATTGATGGGGACTTGTTAGATGCTTTAACCAAAATCTGTGCAGCTCATCTGGACCAAGTGCATATCGATTTTTCACAGCTTTTACTTGACTCTTAATCATTTCATTTGTTATTATAAAATCATCTATTTGTTTTCCATGAGTTTCTTTACAAATGTCTGTAATCCATGAAGTGTTTTTGTTATGTCCAGTTGGGCTTTCCCACATTTCTTTCCAAAATTTTAGACCATCATCTTTACATGTTCCTAGTTTCTTTTTCTACATTTTCTCCTAGTGATGTTATAGAATAATTGTTGGTTATTTCAAAATTGCATGTTTTCTCTATATTGTTTCAAGCATCCATCATATCTTTCAATTTTCTTTACTGTAGCTCTTGCCCACTGTTTTAATTCTTCCATAGTTTCAACAATTGTTTTCCTTTCTAGGTCACATATTTTGCATAGTCTGGGTTTTACTTTTTCATTTTTAAGTTTTTAATCTTTCAAGTGTTTTAAGTTCCTGTTGTTTGCATGTAATTTGTTTATGTTTCTTTCCAGCCAAATACTCCATTTGGTGGTGCCATGAGTTTTCTGGGGGTTTTGCAGCTTGTAACTAAGTTCCATGGTTACTATGGTAGCTGTGTTATACATGAGCTGGTTTGTTTCCTTTAGCAGTGTTGGTTGGGAGGATTATGATGACAAAATTTGCATCATTCAGTAGATCTTCTACTGGTTCATTTTGTAATTGGTGCAAATTGGGGAGCCTTTGTCTTTCTGTGTTCTGGCTAATATGGGTTACTGCTTTTCCCCTCAGTGATGTTTGCCATTCTGTCAAGTCATAATTTCCATAAGTTGTTCCTGTATTTGTCAAGATAAATTTACAGGTCTGAGCAGAATAAAGTATATTAATGAGCAGCCATAATGGACAGATGTGTAGAAACGGAGTCATGATGACTCAGCAGTGCTGACTCATGCATGATGCAACACATAAGGTGATTGGACACAAGCAGATCTGTATATGTATATATATGTGAAACTGTACAGTTGATGTATCTTTCTGTTTCCTGTTTTCGCGCTAACTGTATTGATGTTTTCTTCATAAGTTATTCCGCTATTCATATGTATTATTATTATTATACATTTACATTGAATTTTTCTCCCTCTTTTTCTACACTTTCACAAGGTTTAGAGAATATATTTTTCGATCTCCTAACAGTCTGTCTGATGGTTTTCTATGTTTGCCTGTTTGTTTTCTTAGGTGCTGAAATTTGATGGCTACTTTCAAGAAGATGTCCCCATATCTACAGAAGAGCATTTTCGCATCCGCAAAGTTGGCATTTATTACTATTTGGAAGATGATAGTATGTCTGTCATGGAGCCAATTGTGGAAAACTCTGGAATTCCCCAGGGCAAGCTCATCAAAAGGCAACGCCTGCCCAAGAATGATCGTGGGGACTATTATCATTGGAAAGATCTGAACCGAGGAATTAACATTACTATCTATGGCAAGACTTTCAGAATAGTTGATTGTGATGCATTCACAGAGGTACTATACTTTGGGTCACAAATTTGCAGAAAAAAACTTGATAAGTTATTTTTAAAAGATTGTTAGAAAGCTAACTTTATTGCAATATTGATCCATTCTTCACATTACAAAAATATTCATGTACTGCATGGGTTCTCTAGACACATTTTGGATTGTAACCTGGTAGATTTCATTTTAGATGTAGAAAGAACAACACAGATAATGCTTATTCCTAGTACCAGGAAACAAACATAGGGTTGAAATACAGAATATGAAACTCATTAGGAAATTACATCAGGCTAGTACCTAGGTAAGACATTGGTTAATATTTTGAGATATATTTTCAGAACCACAAGCTATAATTTTATTTTAAGAGTGTAAAAAGGAGTGAGAGATTTAAGGAAGTCTGAGGCCCATTCCACATATTAGACATTCCTCAGTTATATACAGAATATTGAAGAAGGCTTGACCACAACACTTGATTGTGGATACTTTCATGATGTATGTATTTGCAATTACAGGTTTATACATATTTTAAAATGTATACTTAAATGTACACTTATACAGATTTGACTGGGATTTTTCTTTATTAGTATGGACATTACAGCAAAACCTATTGGTGGAGTACTATGAAAAGCCTTTGGCTTAAGGTGTCATTCAGATGCCTCCCCCCAGTTTTTCCTCAGTGAAAACTTTTATCTATGCCCTGTTCCCCTCTTATTGTATCTGGTTTAATCTTCTGTGCAATTCTCTCTGATTTAATCTACACCCACTCACCTCTTCAGCCATGATTTGACTTTTGTGACTTTTTCTGACAATGTGAATCATCCTATCGAGTCCCAAATCCTCTACAGGTTTCTTGTCCTGACTTTCAAATGCTTTCCATTTCAAATGCTTTCAAATGCCCCTCGTTTGTTTGTTGCACTAAATCCTCTCATGACAGTTCTTTCCCTAGAACCACTTTTAGCTGTCTTATGCTCTCTGAAATAAATTATGTGTCATTGGGTTGATTCTGATTTACAATGACCCTAGGGATTTCTAGGAACCATGCTACCTTTGCAAAGCTGCATAGGTAGCAGATTATGTAATTCCATCAGGCACACATGTTTTGGATGATCTCAGCTGACCCCAGATTTAGGAAACACAAACTCCTAACCCTAGGCATTCCTATCCACTGAGCTATACCACACTGAGCTTTTCTTTTGCAATTGGTTGTTGGTAGGTAAAGACGGCTTCATTTGTAAGTCTGATTTCTTAGATGACAGTTTTGAAGGAATCACTTCACTGGATAAATGACGTTTTATTAACTGCTAATGTGAACTTGTTGTTTTGTCTAAGTTGACCCTATGAGTACTATGAGTTCTTGAAGTTAAAAAAAAAATCTGCCTCCTGAAGCCTCGATTTCCCCCTTCCACTGTAGCTTTCATGTATCTATTTTAGATACATGAATGGGTAGCTGTCACACCTGTTTTGTATAAAGCATAATGTACCCAAGTGGTGACGGACGGACGGACGGATGGATGAATAAATAATGACATGGCTCTTTTTATAGACCTTTCTACAGAGTCAAGGAATTGAACTGAACCCCCCAGAGAAAATGATTTTTGATCCTTACACAGAGTTGCGTAAAATGCCTCTGCGCATGTATGTTACACCCTCAGATTTTGATCAACTGAAGCAGTTTTTGGCCTTTGATAAAAAGGTAGGACTACTTGTTATGTTTCCTGTTTCCTATTACGTATAACCTGCTTTCCTGTATGTGCCATACGATCAACATATCTAATAATTTTTAAGCCCAATAAAATCAATAAAATGACAAAGAAGAAATGCACAAATCAAAGAAAGCAGGAGCAGGAAGGGTAGAAAATGTAACACTAAATTCTGATACAAATGAAAACATTTCAACTGTCCGTCTGAAGACAGAAAGAGAGGAACTCTGACATATCTCACCAGAGGAGCCTTATTACAGAGAAGACCTTGTTTCTGAAACCTGCCAGATTTCTCAGTGAAGGCAGAGGTGGGCAAAATGCAGTCCTTCAGGTGTTGTTGGAAAGTAGCTCCCACAAGCTCTAGTGACCATAGGCAATTGGGAGGAACATTGTGTCCTGCTGTCCAGCAACTTCTGGGAGGGCTCTTTGTTCTTTAGAGGAGAGTAGAAATTCTGAAGCTGGTCCTTAATTAGGCTTATATGGACAAAGGGCAGTTGTACGGAGGAGCTGCTTTCAGGGGAAAGCAGAAATCTACAGAAAGCAGAATCCTATGTTCCTTTGTTACTATGCTTCTGTCCGATGCTGTTAAGGGATTTGAAAGTATTTAAAAGGACTTTAAACTGAGGCTGTAAACATGAAACAGCTAGTTCAAATGATGCAAAATTGGTGTAATGTGTTGAGATTTCACTCTTATCTCACACATTATTAGAAGGCTAAAGTGGAGTTGGGCAGAGTGCGGTACTCTACAAACTGGTAGGCTGCAATTCCCACCAATCCTAACTAGTACAGCCAATAGTGAGGACTGTTAGAGACGACTCTTTGAATCAGTGAGAACTGGTAAGTCAACACTGATGTAGATCTCATTAATTCAGCTCTGAATTAATTAACTCAGCTCTGTCTCTCCTTACTCCTCTAACTATTGGAGTACCCTGGCTTGGAGTACACAGCAGCTGAGCATCAGAGTCTGGCTTCATGTCCTGCTTTTCTCTCAGTAAGCAGAACTTTCAAGGATTTAATGGCACACCTTAGACATGAAGGAAAACACTGGACTTTGGAAAGCAGTGTGAATAGTGAAAAGAAGAATAGGATAAGATCATAATCACTGCATGGAATTTTAATAATGGTTATGATGGAACTATTTTATCACAAATTAGTATGTCACAAGAATATCTAAGGGACAAGATTATGCCAACTCTTTCAAATTTTCATTACAAATGTAAAAAGGAGTGTAGCAAAAGGAACAGAGGATGGCTGCTGAAGACCACCTCAAATAGATCAGTTTTCATAGTGAAGCAAAGGTTATTATGCCTCTGTACAACAGGGGTCACTGCCAGCCGCAATATTCCTGAGGGAATTATTGGTCTGGAGGTATTCATAGTTGGGGTCTCTGTAGTAATTCTCCCAGATTTCAAAATGATCCCTTTCTATAGTGGTGGCTAAATGGAATTATATCCCTCATCTGCTTGTATGCTTAGCTGTTGTACTGTCATCATGAGGCCTATCCTGATGCACTATATCCAAAGTCATCTGTTCCATGAGACGAGGGCCATTGTGGTTAACCCTCCTTGCAGAGGGCAGACTCCAAACTAGTGCACTAGTAACATATTCTCAACTACAGGATTTGTTTTGGTGCTATAGATTCTTTTAAATGGAAATGCCAAGGATTGAATTTGGGAATTCATATGAGCAAAACATATGCAATATCATGCTGAATTATGGCACCTCATACATCTTACAGGTGCTTCGTTTCTATGCCATGTGGGATGACACTGAGAGCATGTTTGGTGAGAATCGTCGTTTCATCATTCACTATTATTTGGCAGATGATACAGTGGAGGTGCGAGAAGTCCATGAGCGAAATAATGGCAGAGATCCTTTCCCAGTGTTAATAAGACGCCAGCGGTTGCCCAAAAAAATTGTGGAGAACAAAGGTAACTCCTGTTCTTTAGGCACGTGGTACTTCTGTGGTTATGCACAGTGAGTATGGAAGTGCAAAAGCTGGTGCTTATGGGGCTCAGTGATACTTGGTTACGTGAGTAACATGAGAATATGGAGATACCGGAATCAAACCCATAACAGGCAGCAAACCTATGGCAGGCACTGGAAAACCATAATGATCAGGTAGATGGTGGTAGAAACACCTTTTCAGATAGATGTGACAGAATTAGGGCTTAATTACACTTGCCAAAAGAACCCCAGTTATATTGACGTGGTCATTTTTTAGATCGTTGAGCACAGAAATGGACATTTCATGCTTTGAATGGTAAAGAAAGGGGTGTAACATTGACATTGCCTATCTTTTTTAAAACTCTGCTCTTCACAATATTTTGCATGTCTTTTAAAATACGCTTCCTCCTCTCGACACTGTGTAAAAGGCAGAAGAAAAGGCCAAGAACTGAAGAGGGAGAGATATGCAGAGAAATAAGGAAAAGGAGATGAGTGAGTAAGGGAGGGAAGGGAAAAGTGGAGGAGGAGAGAAGGCTCGTACTGCTCCATTGCATGATGGATATATCACTTTTGTTATTCAAAAACAATAACCGGGGGTGGGTGGGTGCTGATTGCCCCAAGAAACAGTAGAGAAAATGAATTGATTCAAATTTATGGAGCAGTGTAGCCAGCTATATCAATTCAAATAGAAAGAAATGAGTTTATGCAGTTAAAAACAATGTGACTTATCGCACTGACATATATACCATGTGGCTACTGAAAAAATGTATCAGTACAAGAGAGATATGAAAAGAATTAATATAACTGTGGTTCTTTTCTCATGTGTGATCAAGCCCTTAAACAAGTATTTTAGCACAAGATGGGATTAAAACAAATGTATCAACACCGCCATTACAATATTAGATTCTTACATTCCTTTAAGAAGCACTGACCAGAATCCTATTGTCAAGTTACACTTGTGTAAGGGCACATGTCCAGGAATGTAACCAGCACTTTTATAAATAAATTGTAATTTACTGCTGAAAATTATGCAACTTCCCTCATGCAAGTGTCTGTTGGCAATAGGATTCTTGCCACCATATCTCAGCCTACTCTAATTTTCCAGAGAAGTGCTTTATCTTGTTTAGACTCTTACTAAATGTTTTGTGAATCTGTGATAGCTACTTCCAGAGTTTCAGCATGCTGTGATCAAATGGTTTGCTTTCTTAATGTGTCAAGGAGGGGGAGCCTTATTGTCTTTTCACCATTCTTTTGGAAATTGTATTTGTTTCAACTTCCGGAAATAATACAGGTCTAAGCAATTTGTCTTCCTTCGAAAAGGAACCTTTCCCTCTTGTGTGCTGGAGATTTCTGACCAGGAAGTCCTGGAATGGTTCACAGCTAAAGATTTTGCTGTAGGCAAATCCACAACTCTTCTTGGGCGCAAGTTTTTCATATATGATTGTGATGAGTTCACTCGCCAGTTCTGTCAAGACAAGTTTGGCATCACTGACTTCCAGCCTGTTGATATAAAGAAGCCACCTCCAGAGGAAATCAAGCAGGTAGTGAACGGGGGAAATGAGGAAAAACATATGAAAGCAAGTATTCTGTAACTCATGGCAAGAGCTCAAATCATCAGCTTGCTTTCTTGCAATAAAGTTTTACTGAACTCAGTTGATTATAATCAAAAGAACATTTGACATCTGATTCCTTGCTATGTCCTGCAAAGCCTATAAAAGACACATAACAGAAGCTCTGCCTGGGTGGTTTTTTAAGGCTAGTTTGGCGTTAAATTTGTACCCAAGGTAGCATTAAGGTCAAACCTCAAAAGGGGTGATCCACTGTTGATGTTTCTGCAACTTCACATGCTGCCTGTAGTAGGTGTGGCTGGGACGGACCTCTCTCAGCTTGGTTTACTTTCAGTCACTAACAGCACAAACCAATAGTTCCTTCCCTTCCTCTAATTCAAAGAGAGCACCACCTCTGCTCTGTCTTTTCCCTCTCAAGAGTCTGCTGGAATCATTGAGTCTGTTCAGGTCTGTTGCTGAAAGTAGATCAGTAACATTTTTATCAGTTTTCTTTTTGATCTGTTCAGCTGTAAGTAATGAAACCTTTTCGAAGTAATGAAGCCTTCGCGAATACAATGAAACCTTTTATTTTTTTTCTCCTCTTAATGTCTCAGAATGGGTTTTTGAGACTGTAAGTACCAGTTGATGAGAAGGAGTGAACTAAACTGTGGAAATTTAGGCTATTCTGCTTTGTGATTCTTTGTACTTCTGCTGTGCTGCTGGAGGATTTTAATCAAAATTCTGTAACGTTTGCCACAGGAAACTCTCTCTGCAGAGAATTCAAGCTGTCTCACATGGGCTGGCAATGCAGAAGATTAAACCAAATGTTGTCATAGTATAAATCAGGTTCAATAGTACTGAAGAGATTTGAAGGGTGAACGTTAGAATTTGGATTGTTGAGCAGGATTGAGAAGATGTACATGTAGCAGAAGTAAGAGCAGCTGGAGCCTGGTAGAAAATCCAGAAAACATGCAAAACTGGTTAAAAGTAAAGAATAAATGTTGTTCAGGCAAGGTTCTGAGGCTGAGCTATTGCTGTTATGCTCTCCATTTTGAACCATTGAAATATTTCAGGGAGCGCTCTATGGGGTTTAATTTTCTTTAAACAAGAGAATCTTACAGTAATTTTGTAATGTCCAAAATCCTGTTGTGTAACTATGCCTGCATAATTTATGCAAGTTGTGAAAGCTGTTGCAAAGCTTGCAGAGAGGGGAAAATTAAATCCTTGGAAGCAATTCTATGGCTGCAGTTTTGCAGTCAGACATGATGATAGCCTGGCAGAACTGTCCGAGAACAGCCACAGGTGTAACTTAATGCTATGGCAAGTGGAATTTCAGCCATTATTTGCATTTTTTTCAAATAAGTAAGTGTATGGTGGAAAGGTAAAGCCATCAGCAAATCCTCAGAGAGAAAGTGATGTAAGTTCTTAAGACATGGATAGACATTCTCTTTTCCATCACTTCTTTTCCCCCAGTTCACAGTTCTTTTAACTGTTTCCCTAGCTTTCCTCCCAGTTGAGGGAGTGTTGTGTTCTCTCTGTCTAATGAAATTTAGAGTAATTGCTAGCAGTCTCCTGTCTTTAGTTCCCCTTGAATAGCATCAAGCTGTTCAATCTATCAATTTTACAAAGCATGGTCTCTCAGTAGGTGTAATGCTTGGGCTCTGAGGTTAGCTGGAATCTGGGAATGGAGTTAACAGGCAACAGAAGCTCTTTGACCATTCAATGCCTCCTTGCTTTTGTTTCATTTCATTTCATTTCATTTTCTTGTAACTAGTGATAATACAGCAGCAGGAAATGCTAAGATGCTTTAAAATGGCTGCCACCCATTAAAAACATTCCATTTCACAAATACCTGAGCTAGTCAAACTGGTGTCACACAGCATCATCCTGAAATCCTGCTGTACTGTTATGTAAAAGATGTAATTTTTAGTGGCGGATTTACATAAGTTAAGGAATCTCTATAACCAATATCTGTTGCATACTGAGTTTCATGACTTGGCATGCAACACATAATGCCTATGGAAATTTCTTGATCTACAACAGTTCACTGCTAAAATTATGGTTTATGTGTAACTGCAACAGGATTTTAGCCCATAAATCTTTCTTTTTTTAAATCTGCAGGAAATCCCTCCATACAATGGTTATGGCTTCCTTGAGGACTCGCTTCAGAACTGCTTCAGCCTGATTCCACAACCACCCAGAAAAAATATCATTAAGATGTTAGAGAATGACCGTAAAGTGTTGCGTTATGCAGCTATAATGGTAAGTTTTTCCGCTCTATAATGTGACCCTGTTGGTCATTCAGCATTTCTAACCTAGACTTGAATTTCCCTTTGATTTTTTAGATCTTCTGGAAGAGATCTCTTTTTTCCCCCTTTTTTTGTTGTAATCTGTTTCATTGCACTGGTTATTATAATTATTCTCTTTGTCTCTATATGAAAGTCACTGAAAAACCACATTCAGGGTTTCTCACCTGTCCTTTGTAATTTGAAGTGTTTTTTTCTATCATCCATCTAGGTTTTTATTTTATTTTCACCACAGTAGTTGTCCCGTTGCATTTTCCCTAACAGTATCTCTGGTTTCAGTTCATCTGGTTCATGGTCCATTGAGTTTAGTAATACCAATCTTTTCTTTATGTGGACTTTAAATTCATCAGGAATGTTGTTTAAATTATATTTTGGCACTAGGTTTCATTTAGTGTTCTTTTTAAGTTGAATATTAACAGTTGATGATCAGTACCACAATCTGCTCCTAGTACTGTTTTGGGTGAGAGAGTACAGCTTCTCCATCTTCTGCTTCCTGTTACATAGTCTATTTGATTTCTGTACAGTGGGGTCTCTACTTAAGAACGTCCCTACTCAAGAACAATCCAACTTAAGAACAGCTCCATTTGCTAAATTTTGCTTCTACTTGAGAACAGAAATCCAAGATAAGAACAGGAAAAAAAAACCTTTCCTGCTCTTTTTTTAACCTTAGGTCATCTTAGGTTAAAAAAAATTCTCCCCCTAGTGGTAGAGTACGTATTAACCAGCTTTGCATTAGTTCCTATGGGAACTAATGCTTCAATGTACGAACGCACCTCTACATAACAAAAAAACAGCCAGAATGGATTAATTGGTTTTCAGTCCATTCCTATGGGAAATTTTGCTTCAACTTAAGAACGTTTCAACTTAAGAACACCATTCCAAAACCGATTAAGTTCTTAAGTAGAGGTTCCACTGTAGTTTCTATGGACGGAAAAGAGCAGATACGGATTAAATGGTTTTCAATGCATTCCTATGGGAAATGCAGATTCAACATAAGACCTTTTCAACTTGAGAACCACCTTCCAATACGGATTAAGTTCTTAAGTAGAGACCCCACTGTATTGACAATCTGTTGATGTGAAACCAGGCGTGGGTCATACACCTAGTCTGACAGACATCTGTCGGTACTTAGGCAGTACTAGTTTAAAACCCTTTCTGAATTCTCAGCTTTTTGTAAGATGATTTTGAGACATCTGTCCTTCATCTTTGCAGGAATCACCAAATCCTGATGACAGCAAGAGGCGTTTTGTTCTTTCCTATTGTCTTGCCACTGATATGATCAGTATTTATGAACCACCTGTGCGTAATTCAGGAATTATTGGGGGCAAATACCTAGGCAGGACTCGAGTTCCTAAGCCAGGGTCTTCTACAGACAACCCTATTTATTATGAACCAGCTGACCTCACAATAGGTGCTATGGTGGAAGGTATGTAGAAAATGGAAACTAAATAGGGGGGTTGCAAATAATTTAAATTAAATGCAGATCATTCTTCTCTATTTTATTTAGAAATTGGTATACAGGAAAGACTGATGTTGCTGATGTTTTTCTTTTTAGAAGTATATAAAAATTAATCTTCAGTATTGTATTGATTAACATCTCATTCAGTGGCCAAAATCTTGTTGCTTGGTGTAGTAAATTGTACTAGAATAGTCTCACAGAATCAATGGAGATTTGGTGAGTCAACTCCTCTTTCAGTTCCATTGATTCAAATGAGCCAGTTGTGTCTTACTTTAGCATACAGTACATCGTTGACTCATAAAAAAACCCACTGATTCAATGGGCTTACTCTAGTGCAATTTACTAGGCCAAGTAACAGAAGAAAGAAGGAACTATTCAGATAAATTTTATTCAATTCCACTTTTATTTTATGGAGCTGTGGAACAGCTCAAAACTGACAGACATTTTGACATTTAACTACAGTACTGCTGTACCCATCTTTTAAAGACTTGAGCTCTTTAAAGCCTTTGACCTCAACGCCCCTATGAAATAATGTTGTTATCTTCATTGTACTTTGAAGGAAAACCAGACATTAAGAAATGAAAGTGGAAACAGGAAACATTGTCAGCCCTCTTTGCTTCTTAATCTTTTGGCTTTAAATGGGGAGTGGGGGTGGTGGTCTCCAAACATCTGGGGGCCACACATGCATCTGTATCCCCACTTCCCAAATATTTTTCTTAAAAATTTGGGGTTTGTATTGAAGAAGCCTCCTGCTATTTCCTAAGAGCAGTATTCTAAAACAAAAAAATAAAAAATAAAAATAAAAAAACTGGGAAGATGTGGGCCCTCGTATGTGTTTGGGGCACCATCAAAATATGGCAAAATTGTTCCCACTTCTCCTAAAGGACACAAGGGAACATTCTGAGCCAAATAAGTTTTCAGACTTTTAGGAAACAAATATGTATATACATGTAGATGCTGGAGGCCACACTCAGGTCTCTGACCCCAGAAACAGTATACAGTTGAGAAACTGGGTGCAACCATACAGTTGCTCTTCTGTCATAGTAGGTATGGTAGTTTATTGTTGATTTTCCTGCAGTAATATTGTAAAAGCAGGATTGATTGGCAAACTACAGGATTAGCTGAAACCAGTGGCCTGTATTTGTTTGGTAGTCCTTAGAACAGCCAAACTGAATTAGTAGCATTGATGTAAGTGTTGATTTAGCAATTACTTCAGCTCTAGTTGGGGCTACCAGTTGGAGTGAGACTCCTTTGACTCTTTGGCTGGAGTTTTTTTCTTGAGAGAACATGCCTATCATCTAGATTTTGTAATTGTCATGCTCAGTATGTTTGATGTTAATGGACTGGCTTTCTTTCATCCAGTGTTTGGGCACAGATTCATTATTGTAGATGCTGATGAACATGTCCTAAATTACATGGAAGAAAATCTGAACAGTTTCCCAGCAGCAGTCGTGCAGTCTATGAGGGATCACTTTGCACCTCGCCAGGCAGCAAAAGAGGCAGTAAAGAGGTGAGGTACTAGAACAAGTATGTATGAAGACTTCTGTGATAATCATTAGATGCTGCTCAGGAAGTTTCATCCAACTCTTGCTTAACAAGACATTATCCATGGTGATTCTGATGCCACTATGTACATTAGGCAGATTAACTTTCCCAGACTGTGAAAATCCCCAGCCCATCTAATGGGAACCTATAATATAGCTCTTTTACTAGCCACTGTGAAACAAATACAGATGAGGGCTATTGTCTTCATAACTCGTAGGATTCCCAGAGGAACAATCTGATTAAACAGACTGGATACTGCCATAGATAATTGTTTTATCTGCTTTAGCCAGGCTCTTAATTTGTTTTTAAGTTCTTATTACTTATTTTTACACCCCATCTTTCAACACAGGTACTCAGAATGGCTATTATAATTGTCATGATCAGATGTAATAAAGGAGGATATGAAATGGGATGGCTATGGTCTTGTGTAGCTTACAGCAGGGTTGAAGAAATGATGTCACTGGAAAGAAACTGATTGGCATCCACCGGTGTTCCCACTGTGATTCTTCATGTAATTCTTTATTGTGTGCAAGTGGGTTCCCAACTTGGATTCTGGGTCACATGCAAAGTCACCAAATGTACATGCAAGAGGAGTCACATGAAGAGTCACAGCTGAGATTTTAATAAGCCGTGATTTGCCCTTATGGTGATGTCTTGAGAGCAGAAAATATCAGAGAGGGAAATAAGCAGGTTAGTCCCAGTTGTCGCACTGCCGCAGTGTTCCTTACTGTTTGTGTTACAGAGGTTTTTAATGATGAGTCAGCCTGTAGTTTAATAAGAAAATACAAAGAAAAAATAGAAAGGTTGACCGGATTAAAAGGATAGAATCCAGAAATCGTACCTATAATCCGGACTCAACCACCTGTGAAACTTTACCCAAGAAATATGTGATTTGTAGGACTGAAATTTTTTATAGTTTAATTGGTAGATTACTAAATAGTCAGTTGATTTATTAGCTGTATTGGCTTTTAATTGCATTGTGATTTTAGGCATATGCCTATATGTAAACTTTCTAATGTGTTATTGTAATGCAGAATGATGTTTCAAGAACATCTTAAAAACTGTCTTTCTTTGGAACAACTAAGGAACAAATTTTGTTTAGCAAATCTTTAGCAGGGCAGGACAATCCTACCCATTAGGTTAGGGCACTCCATGATTAGGGCAGCTAATATATGTATAGCTTTGCAAGTCTCTTGCTGGAAAAGCGGAAATGACAGAGGAACAGCATTTCCCAAGTTCTCTCAGTTTTTTAAAATTACTCTTAGTGGAAAGATGGGGTATAAATTAAGTCAAGTAAACAAACATATAAGCTGGTATTCTATTCAGTATTTACACATATGTGGAGTTAAAACAGCAGAATTTGCTACAGCAGTCTAATGAGGTACCAGTCACATGGACCAAAGACATAATCAGATCACTGGAGCAGCTTCTGTAGTTGGATTTCTGTCCATGTAAATATTGAACAGGATAATGAGCCTAGTGACACCAGCCCAGGATTGGCATACCCTTTCACTCCTACCGGTGTGATCAGGAACACGGAAGGTTTGGCATCCTGTAGATCTGAAATAGCTCCTGATCCACCCAGATCATGCCCCCAATCCTGCCTTTTCCTCTCTATGATTAGACAGAGAAGGACCATCCATCTTTTTGCGAGAGTCCAAACATGTATCTCCAAGACTGGGGTTATGTCCTCACTTTAAAAGAAGAGAATCAGTCTTCCCAATGGCACTTGAGATGCCATCCCAGAGATGACAAAGCCACACAGTCAATAACTCAGAATGTCATGTGTTTATCTTGATACTTTGGCACAATGCAAATTTAGATCAACTTGATTAAAAGGCAGGTGATTAACCAACAAAATCCTTGAGTTATATAATACTCTCATTATCAATAAGCCTTTCCAGGAAGTCTACTATCAAGGCTGATTTCCCCACTGCAGTTTAAGTGCAGAAGGAGAGAGCATGCAAAATACTTCAGGCTCCCTTCTTAGTGGTTAACACCAGCTTAAATATTGTGAACACAAAAAGAGGGATTCAAGGAGTTATCATTCTATTTCCCAATCTCTTTGTCCTTTTCTAAGAACAATTGTTGAGCCTTTTCACCTCTCTGAACTTGAGTTTTCAGGTCCTCCTGAAGAAAAGATGGCACTAGATCCACAGGGCTAAGCGTCAGCATTCTAGCATCCCTGCACAGCTCCCCCTCCTCTCATAGCAAGCACAGAAAGAGAAAGGAAGTTACTTTTGTGTCACTAATTTCACTGTAATCTTGTCACTTCTTCAGAGCTGACCAAACTTGGTTACACTGCATAAACAAATGGTGTTAGCACCAGCCTTGCATCTCCTTAGCTCCAATAAGAAAAAAAAAACAAGCTTTTTTTCCCACATATAGGTTAGCTGAAAGTGAACCTGATGCACTGGGTACATTAAGTGGACAACTGCAGGAACATATGCAGCGACACAACTACTTGCCAGATAGCAATATGCAGGCAGCTTTTCTTGAACAAGACAAAGATGGCTCTGGGCTAATCAACAAAGCAGAGTTCTTTGCCCTGTGTGACCGCTTTAAGGTGCCTGTTGATGATCCGATTTTCCAAAAGGTAAACACTAGGTGACCACATTTTAATTCCAGTGGGAAAAGTGAAATCAATGATTTGCCATAATTTAACTATTTTAGATATCCATATTCTTTGACTTGGTTTTTGAAAGGATTTGGAAAGGCGGGTAATGTGTTTCCTATGGTATAAAAGTATTTTTAGAACTTATTCCTTCTGCATTGCTAGCATCCTGCCCAGGAGCCAAGGAAGAGTCCAGTATCATCTATAGTGGTTCAGGCAATGTCTAAAATAAAGCTGGAGTATGATTTGAGTGGTTATACAAAATGAGTCTTTAAGCAGACCTGAAATCTGGTCCCTGGTTGTGTCCCATTTAACCAGGCAGAAAAATCGAACCAAAGCCAACCTACTCTGTGAGCAGAGGGAAGGTAATACGTAGAGTACTTGTTGCTATAGTAGTGCAAGATGATTGAGAGAGAGAGAGAGAGAGAGAGAGGAATAGTCTTGGATGTTTATCCAGCTGCAAAAATTTAGGACTTTTTCTGGCAGCAGGAATGCTACTCTTTAGGGGAATTAAAACATTGCTCTGCATTGTTGCTTTCCTCATTTACTGGACATATTATCCCTCTATAATATATGCTGGCTGAATAGCTCATTGAGGTAGAGAACCAGGGGTAGAACAGAGGATGGCCATCTATCAGAGATCCCCTAATGGCAATTTTCTGACATTGGAAATGGTTAGATTAGATGAGCCTTGTGGCCTTATCCAATTCAACAATTCTGACTCTGTGCAGAGTTGTGCTGCCCAACCTCAGAAGGCCATTTTCTTGTTTGGAAAATGGAGCAGAGAACATACTCCAACCAAACTATCATGAAGACAACTTGAAATGAGAAACATCCTGAATGAGAAGCTCTACACAATCCACTGCAACTACTATTGCCCTGTACCTAGGTATTTGAGTACTTAATCAATTCACAGAAAGCCGCTTACATAAAGAAAGGATACAGTCTGCTTCTACAGTCTGCACTACTTGTCATCCTTGGAGTGTGAGGCAATATATTTTTCACCACTGTGCAGAAGCAATGCCCATTCTTGTGAAATGCTACATTGCAAACTGGCATTTCCCAGTTTGAAATGTAATTATCTTGTGTGGTGTAGTGGATAGTCTGGCAGACTAGAACTCAAGAGAACCTGGGTTAAAATCCCTGCTCATCCATGGAAACCCACCGGGATGTGTAAAATTGGTAAAACCAATCTTTAAATATGTCACTTACCTTGAAAGCTCTATTAGGGTCGCTATAAATCAGTTCCAACTTGATGGCATTTTCCGTAATGATGAGAGCTTTTCCAGCTATTTGTTCTCTTGCTTTTCTCTTCCAGCTTATCAACCTGTGTTCTCACGGGGAAAACCAGGTAAGATATCCCAGCTTCCTCAGAGCTTTCCAAGGCTGATCACCAGGAGGAGTACAAGAGGCAACTGAAGACATGACATTTCTTTATGTATCAATGTGTATTAAAGTGTGATTTCTGAGCATTTCTGTTGGCTTCCTGCCTCCTTGGTTCATTCTGCCATTTTCCAGGTTGCTTGTTAGACACGGTCCCACACACCTGGCCCCAGTAATGGATAGAATGGGACAGTGACCTTAAGGAGCAAATACTATCATGAAAGTCAGTATTATTGTATTTGGAAAGCCAGAGAAATTGGAGAGGTGCTTGTAGGACTTTTTGCCTCAAGAGCTTGACTAGCTTTAAGTCCTAAGGCTATCCATTTTGAGTAGAGAATAGTGTGTGCATGCCGTCTGATACTGTGCCACAGGCAGCAAAAAATCTTGGCAAGCCCCGGAAGCAAACATGATGTCACTACTGTAGACTCATTATGCACAGCCTTACATCTTCAGAGAAAGCAACTTTTCTCACTCTTGTAACTGCACTATTAATGGATGGTTGTAGTTGATTTATAAGAGAAAAGCAATACAATCTTCCCCTTTCAAAGCTTTTTAACTAGAGACTAGGTGACTGAGCACAGCTCTTTTTTCATATTTCTTAACCAACACAGATTTAAATATGAGCACTATGCTTAGGTTAAGCCTAGATCTTTATTCTCAGATACCTTCATTCTCAGATACCCAATTATATCCCATGAAGTAAATTAGGCTTAGAGTATACACATCACTTAGTAGCTGAGTGCCTGCCTATCCATGTAACTCAGTCAGGTTTCAAAGATCCTCACATCAGTGTTCTCTGAAGATTACCTAGTTTGTCACTCGAATTAGCATATGAAACTGAGCCTCGTGGCGCAGTGGTTAAACCGCTGTACTGCAGCCAAAACTGTGCTCATGACCTGGGGTTCAATCCCAGGAAGTTGGCTCAAGGTTGACTCAGCCTTCTATCCTTCCGAGGTCGGTAAAATGAGTACCCAGCTTGCTCGGGGGGGGCAATATGTAGCCTGTATAATTAACTTGTAAGCCGCCCAGAGAGTGCTTGAAGCACTATGGGGCGGTATATAAGCAGCACACTTTGCTTTGCTTTGCTTTATGGAGACATCCATATCTACTGCCAGTATCTACAGTGGCAGGCTTCTCGCCTACCACTGTAAATACTGGCAGTAACTCTCTGTCTCTGTGGTCCTTCTAGTTAAGAACTCAAGAAATAGGCTGGGAGAGAAAAGGAAATGAACACAGTACCTTCTACTGTATAACTCATACTCCAATGAAAGGGTTAATCTTAAACCCAGAGCATAGCGAGCAAGGTAACAAGACTCCATTCTAGTTCCCACATGTAGTGAGTTAAATCTGAATAGGAGCATATCCACATAATCAGGAACCCCTATTTTTCAGGGTTCCTAGCTGCATGTATATCGCATTCCTGCTCAGACCTACTGCCATGCACAAGAGCTAGGAGGGAGGGGAGGGGAGGAGAGGACTAACCTGCTCCCTCCACTCATAAGTTAGCATTAACCTGTTTACTGGATGCCTATAGGACATGCAGACATTGTGTTCCACAGCCATTCCCATTCTCTTCTAAGGCTGATGTTCTGCCCCAAGACTGGGGATGAACTATAACTAAATAGCAACAGATGTTAACACAGACATGAACCAACATCAGGCTTCATAAGTAGATGGATTTTTGCCCACACAAAATCCACACACAAATTTTTAAAATAGATTTTTGATTATTCTATGCCTTTTTTATTTTAGAAAATACTGTGTCACAAATATCTTTTATAAAAACTGGATTAACAACAGCAAAGTCCATATACAAGTTGTATTTTTTAATGGCAGAGGGGAAATATGATCGAGAAGAAAATCCTCCCAGGAACAATCAAGATTAAAGTATGGAAGAGCAGGGATTTTGTATCATGTTCCTGGCTTCAATTTGGTCCGTAATTAGAAATATTAATGGGGAAAAGGGACAGCAATGTACATTTCCAACATCATCTTCAACTGTACTCTGCCTCAGGTACTCATTTGCAGAACACTGATACTGATAATGGTTTCTGAATGATAACCAAAAAAAAAACAAACAAAAACACAAATCCCTCAATAAATATTTCCTGGTTGTAACTGGGCATTCAGAATAGGAATGACTGTCCTTTTGGAAGACACAAAAATCAGATGTAGAATTAACTGTTTTTGATCATTAGCAATGGAAGCAGAAGAGAGTCTTAATTACATCTGCAACTCTTACAAGTAGGTTTACACAGCATCTGTATTACATTCCAAAAGCAGATACTGTACTAAACACTTAAATGTTGTGTGGGCCTGATAATGAAGAGGACTTCCATTCTCCTCACTGCTTTACTAGATGGTTACTGTACTTGCAACAAAACAAAAGAATTAAGCTATTTTTAAGAATACAGATATTAAAGCCCTGCTGTGCAAAGCTCTATTTACTGAACTTTGGAAAGTTTAGGGTTAGATCTCAGAATCATGCTACATATAATCCAATCAGCTTAGGGCATGGCAGGCAGGAAGAAAGTGCTATGAGACTTCTTTGTCAAACCAGAATAGATGCAAGAAGAGGAGGCCCATGACTGAGTTCAAAACAAACCAGACCTCTCACAAAAAACACTGAAATCTGAGCACACTGAAGGCAAACTATTTTCCCATTTCCTTCTTCCAGGATGAGATCACCAAAAAGGGATACAAATCCAGGTAAGCTTTTTAATTGGCCAGTCTGGGAGTCAGTGTGCTGGGCAATGGGAGTATAACACTGAATCAGAAACCAAGAGTTAATTGTTTTAGCCATGCTTGTCTCCCCCTTCTTCCTGCAAAACGTAGAAACATGTTACATGTACTGTAGCTCTGTAATGCTTCAGGGAGGCTCTTCTTATGCATGCACACTACAGTTTCTGAGCTAGTATGAAGCAGAACATCACTGGGATAGAGATGCTACTGCTTCCTACCATAATGCTTTCTGCTAAGCTGTCTGCAATTTCTACCTTTTCCCTTTTAAGGATGAATTCAGAGGGTCAAGAGGCAGTTTTCAGTTGAAATGTGTCATGAAGGAAAAGGGGCAAGCCAATATGCTTGCTATATATCCGTTCTGCTTCGAAATGCAGGCTTGGGGAGGGCACAGAACCAAAATCAAGCATGAAGAATCACAGAACTTCTAATTCTATCTTCACTTATCACAAAAGGACTTCAAGAACAGAACAGAAGTGAGATTCCTTACAATTTCATTTATGTGATTTCAGAAACGGAGTCAATGACCTGGAGTTAAAAGCAAGCAGAGGAATCTGGCCTCCTATGGAACCAAGCGAGCCTGCTCATGCTACTGTTGCTTGTGTTATACTACAACACTGATGTTTGTTTCTAAAACTGTTACAATGAAAAAGAGGTTTATACTTACCAAGCAACTCCTACCTAGAGCCCAAAAGGCATAGAAACTGAGGCAATGTGTTCAGCAAAAGCTGTCCCTTTTATGAATTAATTACTAATCTAGTGTACATATGTGAAATACACTAATGCATATATAGAAGCAATATGAAAGATAAAAAGGAACTAAAGGCTATACGGCATTGTAAGGCACTTGCAAAACTGTAATAGGCTACACTGTGGCTTAACTTGTGCAAGAAGAAAGTAGCTGAGCAAACTGGACTGGCTAAAGACAATTTTATGCAGTTTTAAAAAGTTATCCTCTTTTGAGTCCCAGCAGCTCAAGAGCCAAACTGAGTCAGGAGAGGTCCTATCTTTGAACAAGGGTCTCTCTCTTTGGAACAGTGATCAGTTATTTGTAGGAGGGAGGAGGGCAGAAGGAAGGCAGGTCTGGTTTCCATTAGGCTCAACAAGAAGAGCTGACTCACAGTTCTATCATGCTGATTTAACCTAACCCGACCTACATAGCACCATTGTCTACCCAGCTTAGTCCTTCACTCCTATATAAAAATCAAGCAGATGAGGTATATGTAGGGTTCAACAAGAGCTAAGAAATGACAGGCATGAAGTGGTAAGGCTTGCTTCAAATCAGAATATCTGTAGTCTGGATACTCCAAGACCTGGGGAGGGGGGATTACATATACTCTCAAGAAGTACCAATCAGGAATAGAGCGAATACTAAAAGCATGACGACAGGGATATACATGGTGCTACAGCAGTTCAAATGCTATAAGCTGCTTAGGGAGTCTTGCTCACCTCATACTATGCAACATTTCTAAAAGCTTTAGGACAAGATTGTACTTGTGGCCCTCTAACCTGAACAAACCTTACCAACCATACACATTGTGGGCCTACCATGGTTGGGGCAACTCTTCGGTTTTGCAATTGGAAGCTGGAGGACCCATAGTATCCTTGGTAGGAAACACATGGATGGTGTGTTGCATTTGATTTCTTGGAACATAAGTTGCACAGACATGCTTTAAGTATCCCAGAAAAAAAACATGCACAAGATAATACTGAAATCTGTACAACATTAAAGATCCTCATTTTGGAAAATCAATTTAAAAATGGTAATCTGGACATTTGATGTCCTGTGTCCTTTGCTTAAAGTTTCAGCTGTGGTTTTCCAGCAGAATGAAAGGATATCCACTCAGCATAAATGGTTATTTAACACTTTTACCATTCTTTACTTCTACTTTTCCTCATACCCTGCCAAAAACAGATATTTGCACCACGTATCAACCAGGAAAAAATGGTACTGTGGCCGAAACAAAAGAATTCCACAGGGAAGCTATGTATCACCACTTACGGCAAAGGAGAATGGAAGTCTCAAGTTCCCTTCTTTCGATTAAGTGATTATCTAAAATCCAGAAGACCTTGACAGAGAAAATATTCCTAACATGAACCAATGGCACTGTGGCTTAAAGCATATTGTAGTACTCAAGACTAGCCATGCTGCATGAGGTGCCTCAACAGTAGAAAGAAGAGATACCACATTCTGAAAACAATTGCCAACAATTCCCCTTGTCTTGATGCTCTGCCACTTCTAGTTTCACTTCAGAAACAAGAGGAAATGTAGAAGTTACAAAAGAGTGGCTTTCGAGGTAGATTTTAAACTTAACATTATCCACCAGCTTTGGGAATAGGTGATCAACTGGGTGGAAAACAATTCCCCGTAAGATAGTTTCCTTCTCCCCACATTCATAATTATGACACAGGGGAATTAAGGAGCTAGGAATTGGATTGCCCAGTGCCCCTTCTGGAAGTGATCTATTTGGAAGAGGGGGAAGAAATAACATTCTCAGCACCCACAAGGGGCAAACAGAATGGAAAGGCGCTGGGTAAAACATATAAAAAGGGGAAACTAAAATTATATAGAAGGCATAGGTTTCAACCTGAATGACAATTACTAGGGAGTAAGTCCCAATGAACACAGCAGGACCTACTTCCAAGGGAATATGCACAGGCTAACTGCAAAAAACCCTATATTATCATCTTGTGTTGGGATGGAAGGAGCACCTAAGTAGAATGGACACAGTCATGACATTCATGTCAGTTCACCAACAAAAACTGTTACATAAACATTAAAATATATGGCAACTCTCTCCCGCCCCCCGCATTGAAGAAATCACAGACTATCACAGAAGAATGTGCAGTTGGGAGTAACAAAGCTGCTTCCTTCACTAAGGCACTGTATGTTGTGAGAGACTTTCTAAGACAGTGGAGAGGGAAAACATGCTGCGCACCCACCATACACTGTCAAGTCAGCAGGTCTCTGTGCAGGAGTTACAGGAGACAATTCTTGCCCAAACATCAGTGAATTCTATTTCATGTAGAATGGAAGAAGCATTACAAAGAAGATGTTTGTATCTGCCTAAATCTCCAGAAGAATGCATCCAGAGGGAAGCATTTGACCTTTGAGACAAGGCTTTGCAGGGTGCATTTTTCCATCATGTTGTGAAGGCCTACAGTGTCCCTAAACATTTCACTAGGCTTATGGGGTGTATTACAGAATTAGGAAGTACAGACAGAAACGGCACCTTTAGATATTTGTTCCTTGATCATGACTCAAAATAACATTTCCTGGAAACCCCACTTGTTCAAGAGTCAGACAATCAAAACTCCTACATAATGCCCCTCCCCTGGCTCTATTCCCATGGCAGTACAACTCATCAGATCCTACAGCTGCTCTCTCTCCCCAGACCAATGCACCACTAGATGCAGTGAAATTGGAAGGGGAAAACTATACACTGAGGATAGATTTGTGAGAAAAATTCACTGGCAAAACATTCCCAGGTGCAGGAAAACAAGCAAGAACATGGTGAAGAGAAAAATGCACAAGAAGGTAACACATTAGCTGGGGGAAAGTGTTTGGTGTTCCTAAACCCCACCAGGAAGGAAGAGGGGTTTTTTGGTTATTGCAAACTGGCAAGAGAGAACGTGATCTTTTCATACAGTGTGTTCAAGCCATTTGAGGTGGAGCTTTGTAAGGCCAGAAGGAAGAAATCTGCTTCTTATTCCCAGAGTCCTCAGTCTTGCATTCTCCATCTCCTCCTCAAAACCTCTTGCAGGCTGTCCTTTGGCTCTATGGAGACTTGAGCTTCTTGGTGCGTGGTGAGGTACCGTTCTCTGCTTTTACTACTCCATTTTCATGATAGCCTGGGGAAGGTATGACACCAAAGATAAGTTTGCTTTAAAAACTGGATCAGAGTAACACTTAAGCAGTTTTGTCAAAGGTTCAAACAATAGGCTCTAGAATTATATATGCAGGGAGTGCTATAATTTCAGACCGAAATGCGCCAGTGGAATCAGTGGAATCACACAGATGCATGGAACCGGGACTTTTTCTTTCAAGATTCCCCACACCGAAAACGTGGAACTTAGCAGTATGGGCAGAACTACTCCACAACCACCAAAATTGAGGCTTATAGAAATTTTATCCTACACTGTCTTTAGGAACAGAGAAGTCTGAACATAGAGGTGAGCAGTTGGTTTTACTCTCATAGTTATTTCTGGCTCCTAGACTTTCTTCTACGCTGTTCATCTTCAGTCACATCAGCCTCTGGCATCAGATTATACCACACACTACTCAGTGATGGCTAGGAAAGGTGCAAGGAAATTGAGAAGCATCTCTACATCATTACTTAATCCCCAAAATGAAGCCCCTTGGCTCTTCCTATATGGCACCACTGAAGCACCTGATATTGCAAGCAAAGCTTATCATAAAGATCCAAAAAACCATCAGTATCCAGTTCTAGTTTAAATTAAGATAGATCTTTAGTTGAGTAGATAACACAAGACAACATAGTTGGTCTGGATGGATTTTGTGTCCGAGGGAAAAAAGCATACAGTGATGCCTCACTTTACGACGTTAATTCGTTCCAGCGAAATCGCTGTAGAACGAAAACGTCGTAAAGTGAAATAAAAAAGCCCACTGGGCTGAAAACTCACCAACCAGTGAAGATCCTCCATAGAGGCAGCCATTTTCGGTGCCTGTGCAGCAAGGAATCCGTCCCTAAGCACAGCAGGGGGCCATTTTCTTCGGCCGGCAGCCATTTTGAAGCCCAACGATCAGCTGTTTTTGATCGTCATAAAGCGAAAATCGTTTCCCGAAGCAGGGAACCGATCATCGCAAAGCGGAAAAACCCCATTCAAACCATCGTTTTGCGATCACAAAAGTGATTGCAAAAACCTCACTGTCAAGTAGATTCATAGTTAAACAGGGTAGTCGTAAAGTGGGGCTCGACTGTACTTTACTTTTCTATACTACCTGCATATATGACAGTAGGTGCACATCTCAGAAGAGGCAAATCCTGTTCTCTTTTAAACAGGAACTGCTACGGCCAATTTTAATGAACATTTGTTATCAGAAACAATTCTTCAACAGACTAATCTGATGCTCCATTAGACATTTTCAGTTGATCAAAAGGTTTTTCATCAACTAAACTTAACAACTGACTACACACTGCCGTTCTTCAAAATCAAGCATTTTAAAGGATGATGCTCACCAGACTCCCTTTTTATGGTTTTCAGTTGCTGTTTGCCATGGGCAGCTGCTACTGCTCTTTTTCTGGCACTCTGCTCGTTCCAGTACTCCCGCCAGCGCCGCAGCTGGAAGTGGATGAAGCGCCACATCATCCAGGCTTGTGAGAAGCACAGCAGAAGCAGCACACACATTCTAGGAGAAGGCAAGAGAAATAGGCTGGGAAAAAGCCATGGCTCATCCAGCTATCTCCTAGATCCGGAGATCCACCAAACAGGTTACATCAATTTAACTGCCCTGCCAACAAGTTATCTTGCATCAAGAAGAAATAAACGGCAGCCGTGTGGTCCAAACAAAATTAAATCCAAATGCATAAATAGGTGATACCTTTATAGACCACTTTACAGATCACACATTGTTTAATCCACAAAAGCTCAGTTTATTGTCTGATGATTTTTTAGTGGTCTATAATGGTATCGCCTATTTTTGCATTTGCCCCAAGAAGAAGAAATATTGAGACTGACCAAAGCATCAAATCTTTCTCTGCCTAAGTGGCTAGGGCATTGGTGGACCAGGACTTTTGTCTGATCTATAACCAGAGGTGGGTAAAGTCTGCAGCCTATGACAGGATAGCTTGTTTGCACAAAGGAGCTGCCTCTTTGGGCTTTTCTATTTTTTCCCATAGGTGCAGAAACCTGGAAGACAAAATATTCTGAAAAGAACTTATGCAGCTTCTGAAATGAAGAGAATAGCTCTTGCAGAGGTGGCCATACAGTCCCATATGCATATCTGCATCAGGTTGTGCGTATTTGTGGAACAGACCTAGATGAATAATTCTACAGTTTAAAATCTCCAAGGCCCCTAAAATAACATTCACTGGCTAAATGAATGGATAATTTGCCAAAACCCATTTGTATCTTGTTATACCAGCACAGCTACATACATTCATGTTTCTTCACTCTCCTGCCCATGAAAAAAAAAATCAATCAAAACGTATGTTATTTTCACCCATTATTCCCAAAGTTTGCTCCCACCACTCTAGAAGAAATTCCTTCCATCCTCTCCCTGCTGACCTAAATCCTGTGCGTGTGTGTGTTATAAGGTGTCAAGTTGGAAGTGACTTACAGTGATCTTAATAGGGCTTTCCCGGTAAATGAGACATTTAAGGAGTCATTTTACCAGTTCCATACCCCCACTGAATTTCCATGGCTGGGTAGGGGTTTGAACCCACATTTCTTAAGTCCTGATCTGATGCTTTATTTGCCCATACCACACTGGGTAATCTGACTGAAACCATGGGGAAGCTGGATTAGAACAAATAGCACAGTTAGTGCTTTCAAGCAAATTCCCTCTGAACAAAACTTCGCTAGCCCAACCCTGTCTTAAAATACTATGGGAGATTCTAATTCAGTGCCAAGTGCAATCAGTATGGTCTCCAGTGTAACACAGGAGTGGGACTTTGCACAGGAAAAGAAGCATGCCATCCTGCAGTATAGATCCAATCTTATCTATGGGAAATACATGAGAAACATTAGATCAGCACCCACCCTAAACTGCTAATGCACAGAGACCTAGCAGATTTCTTCATGCCCTAGAAGCAGAATCCACTGGTGTCTTACCTGAAAAGCAAAGTGTTGAAGTTTCCTTTTTCAGGGTCAAACGCCTGGTTTTCTACCCGAGCCAACCCAAAGCCAACGACTAGCACTGAAAGGGTGAGGGTGAAAAGCCGGGTGATGACGAATACCACTGCCCATGCATTAAACCTTGTAAAAATTAAACATAAAACCACTTTTAAAAAAAATTGAGTGAAAACTTGCCAGTGTTATTTGTTTGGCAGTATACAACAAGACTGCCAGCATGGAACAGTGTTCTGGACTGCCTCAAAACGAACCCTGAGAGATACAGAACATACTCTGTATCAAAAGACCAGTGAGCTCAAATAGTAGTCTTGGCTGATGACTACAGAGATCCATAAATAACACATCAAGCTGTCATCAGCCACACAGAGCTCTCAATGCGACAACTGAGTAACCAACTGCAATGGTTTCTATATTTCAAACAAACAGAGTTTAAGTCCTTCTCAGCAGTTACAATTTTCTGTATGCACGAGCACACCCTAGACACTTTTCCCTCTGAGAATACTTCAGTCACAAACTCACTGGATTTTTCCAGTTTTCAAGCACTAGGAAAAAGGACCTCCTAGAAAAGGGAGGTACAAATGCCACATAAGGATATTAAAGGATAGACACTGTGGCTGGTCCTACAACTTCCACCAGTGCCTACCAGAAATAGCCCTGTACATCTTTCCTACCCGTACCCTTTGCTTATTGAAACAGTTTAGGAGAGGGTGCCTCTGGCTGCTTGGTGCTCGACTGTTCTGCTATGAATAATATTCTCTAACGCAGAGGTTCTCAACTTTAGGTCTTCCAAATTTTCTGGATTTCAACTTTCAGAAGCCCTGTTTGAATGTTTGATGGGCAGGAATTCTGGAAGTTGTAACTCAAAACATCCGAGGGTGGAAAGAATCAGAGCTACTGCTGTGGTTTACTTGATCATTATGGTAGGTGTTATAAATGTATCATTCTAAATCAAGATGCACCATTAGATTTACACCTTTGCTGGTGGACCTGAGAAGCTATGCCAGACCATAACCAGGAAGCTACTTCTTCACTCCAAAAGCATCTAAAAACACTTACAGCTTTTCATTGTTTTCATCTGTGAAATAGAAAAGGCGAGCCATGTGAAAGAGGAATTCGGCTACATACTGCAGCAGCAGCAAGATCAGTCCCAGGCGTGTGAGGCTGGAGAAACAGAGGAATAGAGTTTAAAATAAGTTTAAAAATGTATATGTTGAACCTTCCAGGTACTCCACTGTAGCTCTCACCCAAATATTTGTAATAAATATTGTCAAGCTATACCTTGACCACGGATACAGTAAAGCCAATTATTCTTGCTTTTCCAAGTTTAAATAAGTCAAATTGTACAATCTACGTATATATAAACTGAGCAATTGGAAATACACAGGTTTTATGTAATTTGGCTAGCTACAGAAGAGGCAAAACACTACATGGGAAATTCCACACCCTGGGGATGGGAACTCCTGCTCAATCACAAATCTCTCACCCTTCTGAGATTTCATGAAAACAAGGCTCACACAGTTTTCAAGCCTATCAATTTGCCAAACCATGGGCTACATTATTTCAGCTTCTGAACAAGACCGTTTTTATTCGAAAGAAAAACAAGATTTATAGGCTCCTGAGCTTCTCTGGGTGGGACTGCTACACCAACTGCTCCTCTAGCCCACAACTTATGGCTGCTTTTGGCCCGAAAGGTGCTGCTTACTACCAAAGAGAAACACACACACAGACACACACACACACACAGAGGGGGGGGGTGGCCAGTGCATTTTTGGGTTTCTGTGTGAGATTGTATCAGATTTGACTTTTCTTCTCTTTTTTGTGTGTGTTGTTCCAACGCTAACAAAAGAAATGAACATGTGAGTACCAAAACATTTGCAACTGCAACAATTTTCTGAGAGAAGGGTTGTATTTTCTGACAGAATTGCAAGGGTGCCAATATTCTTGGCCATGACTGTAGCTAGTTGAGATTCTGAAGATGTTCCTCAGCTGTTGAAATGCTTGGCTCATGAGATTCTTTTGGTTTCCTCAGTGACATGACAGAGGTGGTTTTATCTGTGTTTCTGTACCTTAGTTTTTATTTTTTAGATTTGCCTGCCACTCAGATGTTCTCAATTTTTTCAACTATACTATTACAACATTCAATTGTATTATAACAGTTCAGAATCAGAATGACAGAGGTAGGCCTAGTTTTGTTTTGGGACTACAACCCACAGAACCCCCCAGGCAGTATGGAGAACTCTGAGAGCTGTAGTCCAAAAATACAAATATGTATGCCTCTAATAAAAAGTTTTACATAGGTGCTCAGTGTACAACCAGTGATGGCTACCTTCAACTCTTTGAGCGTTAAACATTCACTATATTTAAAAAATAACATGAACTCTGCCCACACCCACACCCCAAAAACTGCATTCTGTGCATTACAATCATGAAACAAATTCATTTCTGACTATGACTAAAGTAGGTAAATCTTCTTAGAGAAGGCCAACAATGTGGTAGCAGAAAGATACAATGGCCACTCAAAAAGAACAACAACAACAAAACCTATAAAGTACCAGTATTAAATGGCACTTTCAGAGAAGAGGATAAAAATCTTATTTCATTCACTGAACAACAAATGGCATTTCAACTCCAGAAAGCTAATTCCAAAGCTAAAATTATTCTGAAATACTTATGATGACAATGAAACCTATTACTTCTTCTTGTAAAATAATATCTGCAGACTAAAAATAAATTAAAATTCCTATTCCACAAGTGCTGCCATAGAGATAACAGGGTGAAATTCTGTTCATTGAATGTAGTCAACTTTGGAGGGTTTGGGAGTCATTTCCCGCCCCTACTCACCATCCCATTAAAACTGGAAGAGGCCTAACATGCACATTCAGTCTCTAACAAGCATTCTTTCCTTTTCACATTTTTTCAAAACAGGGTATGTGTGCAGAGGGAGACACCTGTTTTCAAGAAGAACTCCACTTATTAACAGATACTTCCAGGATGGAGGTTCTGGGCAGGAATAACAGAGGTAACATGTAGCAGCCATAATAAAGATAATGAGCTCAATAGCACTTACTTTAAGAGGTATGCTCCTGCTATATGCACCAAGTAGAGGCCGATATATTGAAGCTGACGAGGAATCTCTTCCTGGAAAAGAAGCAATATTTATCTCAAGCCAGCAATGAATGGGTATATATAAACTGTTCCCGATTAAATTTGGGAAAACAGATCAAGGAGGTTTCTTGTAAATCTCACATCAAAGCAATGCAAGTAGCAGTACATTATTATGGCAAGTACATGTCAGCAAGGCTTTGTTTCCATGGACTAACTAAAAACTTCCAATGCTCAGATAAACAAAGCCAATTAAATGGATGCATCTTATAGGCAAAACAAAGTACTTCTCACAATATATTGTGCAACAGAGAAAATACACTTGAGGCTTTTTTTGGCTTTCGAGTTAGACAATCAATTATTTAAAACATTTACTTATGTAAAATATGTTTTAAAAATTTTCATCTTATATTTAACAGTTCATCTGGTAGCCAAAGACAAGAACGAACTCCATGAGTGGGAGTAGGCAGGTGCCCGGAGAGGAGATAGCTCAGGCTCCCTCCCTTCCTAGTCTCTTTGGCTTCCATATGGACTGAAAAGAAAGGGAAGCCCATCTTTCTGCAGTATCCTTTCTCGGCTAGCACACTAGTTGTCAATGGCAACTTCCTTCTTTCTTTTTCCAATAGCCTGCTGACAGCCCAGTATACTAGCTTTCAGTACTAAAAATGCAAAAGGAACGGTTGCTCCTTCTCCAGGGCCAAACCTGGAACTAGGAATTGCAGACTAAGACATACTGAGTGCTCACTTATTGATTTTTTTTTTTGACATATTGGCTTCCTAGGGACTCACAATTATTCTAATAAAATGAGACAAAGCAAAATGGGGAACTAAATAGGTCACTAACGAAAAAATATAATGGAGAAGAGACACAACACAGGAGAGAAAAATCCTTATTTTCCCATATATTTTGGACCCTTTTATTGATAATAGCACTTCACCAGGGAAATTTCCCATACAAATAACTGTTATTATAAAACACATTTATGTTTATATGATCAATGCTATACACACTTCATCTCTCCACAACTTTAAGATATCATTTTAGTTACAGTATATAATGATTTAATTCATGGCCAAACATGCACATGATAAGGATTATAAAATACACACATTATAAAAATGCAACAACATTGTAATTGGAGCAATACTATAGGTTATCCACTCATCAAAGTGTCTATGAAAGAAAACTCCATGTCTAGTTTTAGTGCAAGAATATGCTTCAGCCAACACTCACCTTCCGCACCTTCTGGAAATACAGTTCAGGCAGTGCATGCAACCAATAGGACAGCTGGCAAAGGTAGAAAAATTTGACCTGGAACCTAGTATTTAAAGAAGAAGCAACAGCATGTCTCTTTCACATCCATATCAAGCGAGCCCCCTTCCATACCCACCCCACCCCTGAAGGCTGTGAGTTGTCCTTTGGCAGTCCAAAGAAAAAGGCTTTTTGAGAGACTAAACATTCATTAATTCAAGGGTGAAGACATTAATTAACCTGCACCATATACACTGATGTTCACTCTTACCTCAAGTAGTTACGATATAATACAAATTTATTCTACAGTCAAAGGCCTGATAAAATAGAATAAAAGTACAGTATAAATTCAGAAAGTAAATTTAAAAAGTTTAAAATGAGTTGAACATCAGGACTCTTTTTCGAATTAGATTACATTATTAAGTAGTTGCATTATGATGGACCATATTCTGTTGTTACCTGCTATAGAGTGCTTTGGGATGATGGGGAAGTAATGAGTCACTTCTACTGAACCACCCCTGCATTCTGATCTGGCAGACCAGGAAGCAGATGGCCAAATCCTGTATCTAACTTCCACCAGAAAAAGGGATGTGAATTTCCACAGGGACACATTCCTGACTGTGCAACCTATGGAGACTTTTGTGAGACAGCCAGAGAGATAATAGTTGCAAAAGCGAGGTACATATATGGATGATTACGACAACCACATCTGTTCATTTCTTTGAGGGACAATGCCCTCAGGATCACCCTGAAGGCAAACAGCCTGTGGGAAAACTGCATCCGGCAGCCAAATGGTATTTATTTAGAAGCCATGTGGTAGCGAAAGATACTGACAGCATTTGGAGCAACATTCCCTCTAATTTTCAGATCCACTGTAGGGGAGCCTCACCTCATCTGTGTGTGCAGGGGTGGGGTTCCGGCTGAAACCAGAATTAAACAGGCCCCCAATTCTGGCTGCCCGTGCGCAGTCCCCATGGAGCTCTGGGTGTGTGCACAGAGGGTACGTTGGTTTAGAGCAAAAAAGATGAGGCAAGGAAGTTTAACTTCTCAAAGCCAAGAAAATCATGTTTCTAATTCTTCTGTGGGCATTTCTGTCAAGTTACAATCTCTGTCAATGTGCACACTTTTCAGGTACACTGAATATATTCCTCTGATGTTGTAAACAAGCAACAGTAACTCAGTTCGCTTCTGTCACCAAAAAACTTATTTTACATCATGGTGTTCTTGTGGGGATATAGAAAATGTTGAAAGACATTCACTGAGGCAAGGCCTACTAAAGGTCATTAAACACCAGTATAGCTTTGTTGAAAAAGACTGCACACTGGAATTCAAGCACAAGCTTCTTCCACCACATTCCAGTGCAAGGTACAATGGGATGTTACTCTAAATAAGTGATAAAGAAACCAAATGACTGCTTTACATACTGTAAAACATAGCAATGAATTACTGTAAAAGCATATTCATAATTTTCAAATTGTGAGATAAGGTAGGGAACCAACTGGGACACTGGGAAGAACAGGGCTGGCTGGTCAATTCCCCCTGGCATGAACCTGAGAAATTAACCACAAAACCAGTTCATTTTTCAGGGGGTTCATGATAGTTTGGGCATGAATCTGAAAAATGAACCACAAAACCAGGTCATTTTTCAGGGGGTTCATGATAGTTTGCGGTTTGTGAGTAGCCACGGATCACAATCCATTGGTTTTCCACTGTGTGCCTATCTCTAGTCTAAAGTAATTTGGAACTAATACTGAAAGTGAAGCAAAATCCTTTGCTTTAAGAAATTGGTGACAAAAAACCCAATTCCCTTAGCTTGGGGGTTCCCAGCCTTGGGTCTACAGAGGTTCTCAGACTGCAACTCCCAGAAGCCTTTGCCAGCAAAGCTAGTGGCAAAAGCTTCTGGTAGTTGCAGGTCAAGAAGATTTGAGAGTCAAGGTTGAGGAATCAGTGCCTTAGCTGGTTGAGACAGCACTCTGTGGCCTTATTCAAGAACTACCTCTTTGTGTAGAGTCACCATGGCTACAGAGAAGCACTCTATCACCAGACCCCTCTGCTTTCAGTGTTGTTGCCCTTCTGTATGTGGAACACAAAGGCTCGAAAAAGAAAACCCTTCCATCTCAGCGGGAGCTCTCCACATGAGTCAGGACCCTGATTTTCCAAGCTCTCTGACAGATAGTTGCTCTCCATGGCTGAGACAATGTCCATGTCTGATGATTGAACATACCAGAAGCAGAGATTACCAGAGCATTTCCCTCCCTCCATGGCGACTGTAAATAGATGGATAATGCCTGAATAGCGCTTCTATCTCTTGAGCCAGTGACAGTATAGCAATACCCCTGGCCAAGAATTAAAACTATAGAAAGCAACGGCAGAAATGAAGCAGGGCAAACACAGATACAATTCTAAAAGGAAATGCAAAGACTTCCAGATAAAATATAGAGCTACATGCTGCAGTCTATATGGGGCAAACACAGATACAATTCTAAAAAGAAATGCAAAGACTTCCAGATAAAATATAGGTTGTGTCACAAAAAAGGACCCTTTGGTAGCTGCAGAGGATGAGATGCAGCCTTCATTTTCCTTCCCAGGATAAGGGTTTTGCCTGCAATATCACCAGAGCTCACAGGAGGGGGCTGTGAGAACATTTTAGAGATTTGAAGATGCTACTGAAACATTAGATGATTTTTTTATTACCACTATCACTCAGTCTTGAGGTCAGATAAACTAAGAATGGAGTGGTTGCACTCTACAGTACAGCTACTCTGCGGCTACTTACGGGAGACGAGCATGAGGATAGTTCTCCCACAAACTCTTGGGATTTGATAAGTATCCTTCCTGAACAGGGAAAGAAGGAAATAAGATCTGTAAATTAAGTTATCTTGGGTGAATGAATGAGCCTGACAAATTCTTTGTAGCCTAAGCAAAGAGAATAGACTGATACACAAATAGATGGCAAATTCACATTCAGAAGCTATCATTTTTACCTCCGCAAATGCAGTTTAAAAAAAAAACACATTAAATGAAATGTGCCTTCTTTGTCCACATTTATATCAAAAGGTCAGTAAGTTCTCTACAGAGCAAATACATAAGTAGGTCACAAATGTGTGTGCAGTTTTAAAAGTTCATTAAATTTTTACTCCTTTTATAATTATCATCATTTTTAATTAAATCTGATCTTACAGTAAGGTCTAGCCAAGCTTGTTCAGTACATTCAGTAAATATAAATAATATGCCAGGGGAATGAAAGGCAGCAATGGTATGACACTGATGGTATGTCTTCCCTCCTCTCTGAAGAAATGGAAAAAATGCTTACAGGGAGTATTACTCTCTCTCAATTTCTCCAGTCTCTTGTCTTTGTCTGCTACATATGCTGTTTCAATAGGTTCCCTTTGACATTTTTTAGCCCAGTCGTCCAACTCTAGGGGACGGTGCTCATCCCATTTTCAAGCCATAGAGCCAGCGCTTGTCCAAAGACAGTTTCCGTTGCCACGTGGCCAGCGTGACTAGGGAATGCCGTTTTACCTTCCCATCGAGGTGGTACCTATTTATCTCCTCGCATTTGCACGCTTTCGAACTGCTAGGTTGGCGAGGAGCCAAAAAAACAACAACCCACCTCCGGTTTATGAATGTAGAATATTGTGCTTCTGTACCCATAATCAAAAATGCCAAGAAATGGTCCAATATTGCTGCACAACCAGCGTGACTAGGGAATGCCGTTTTACCTTCCCATCGAGGTGGTACCTATTTATCTCCTCGCATTTGCACGCTTTCGAACTGCTAGGTTGGCGAGGAGCCAAAAAAACAACAACCCACCTCCGGTTTATGAATGTAGAATATTGTGCTTCTGTACCCATAATCAAAAATGCCAAGAAATGGTCCAATATTGCTGCACAATATTGTACCGCGTACCCATAATTAAAAATGCCAAGAAATGTCCAATATTGCTGCACAATATTGTACCCGCACTGCCAGCAGGAAAAAAAGAATGCCAAGCTTTGCATAGCAAAGAGCAGCCTAAATATTGACAACACTAATGGCAGCAGCCAGGGTGGCTTACAGGATAGCCTCTTCTGCTCACTACCATTCACACTTGTTGAAAAACAGCCTGACGTTTGCTTTGCATTTGGGTAAGAAGCGGTTAATTGTTGAAAAAGGAGTCAGGTTTCTGAGATTCTCCTTTGCTTGGAGTCACTTTGTGCATGGTAGTGGTGGTGGTGGGGACTCCTGTTCAACATCTTGACCATTAGCCTGCAGAGTGTCTCAGGGTTCCATCATTCCCCATGTACTATTTCACATATACATGAAAAACTTGAAAGAGGCTGTCCAGAATTTTGTGGTCTGGTACCACCAGTCTGCTGACGACACCCAACTCTGCCTGCTTTTTAAGATCTTCCAGGAGGCCCTTCTCTCATTATCTCAGTCTTCAGCGTGTGGTCACCTAGCCCTTTCATTGGGAAATTGCCCTTTCAATGTTGCTCAAAGACTGCAATGGCTTTACAAACAAGTGGAGAAGATAGTGATGTGGCAGCCTCAACAGATGCTACTTTGAAGAATGCAAATGAATCTGCAAATGTCCTACTCCTTTTGATAGGACAACTCCCTGCTTAATAATACCAGAGAGGGGCAAAGCCATAGGGACAGCCCCAAAGGAAAACTGTATTTTTATTGAGTTCTCTGTAACAGGTGAAGAAACTGTAGAATAAACAACCATTAGAAGCTCTCGAAAGATAAAACACCATGACCTTTCTAATATCAACAGCATGGATGCTTCATTCTCTTTTATCCTTGGAATTTGTAAATAATACAGACAGCTGAAGATCCTGGCTAAATTAAATTTCCTTGTCTTTTCTGGCTAAATTAAGTGCATTTCATGTTGGCAGAGTCAACAAACGTTATCTAGAGAGAGAGAGTGCCACCGTTCAGCTGTGGAAAGCAAAGAGAAACCACCTGACTGGTAGAGACTATGCAGGGAGCTCCCCAGCCACAGACAGTATCATCTAGTAAGGTCTGAAACTAGAAATGGCAAAGAAGTAGGTTGAAGAGGTCATCAACACAGGGATCTTCAACGGTCCTAAAGGTGGTCATCCATAGTTCAGCCCCCAAAGAGCTTGCAATACAGTACTGCTAGGAAATGCAACCACAAATGTCTCATGTAAGGTGGGTGACAGAAATGCTGCCATAATCCAGGAACTCACGAATGCACTGCTCAATCTAAGAACACTCTGGGAGGAGAAAAAGCAACAGCAAGAGATGATTGGACAGATAACAAAGAAAGCTCTGCTCCAATGCAATAAAGTACTTGATTACATGTAGAATCTAGACCTGTGCTCATTAACTGAAGAGATGGGTGTGTGTTGTGGTGGCCTTTGTCTTATTTATTGCAATGTTTCTGACCTACGCTATACCAATAGATCTCAGAGCTGGGTAAAGACAATAAACTTTCTTTAAAGTAATCTAAGATACTTCAAATACTTTCAAAACACTTAAAAACTTCAAACTATTTCATTTAATAATGTCAAACTACACCTCATTTTTTAATAGTTCGGGGTTGTTGTTGTTTTTAATCACCCTGTAGTGGAGAGCTCTGAAAAACTGATTCACTGTACCATAGCTAAGGCTGAAAAAGAGAGTGATGTTAAGCAGGAACTTCTGAAAAGCCTTGCAAAGCAAAAAGTAAAAGTGTGCTGCTCATATACCACCCCATAGCGCTTCAAGCACTCTCTGGGCGGTTTACAAGTTAATTATGCAGGCTATAAGAGTACCCACTGTACTGACCTCAGAAGGATGGAAGGCTGAGTCAACCTTGAGCTGGCTACCTGGGATTGAACCCCAGGTCGTGGGGTTTTGGCTGCAGTACAGCAGTTTAACCACTTGCCTCTCATCATGACAAATAAAAATACACAAGGAGGCCTCCAGCTCTCTGCACTACAATCGCTGAGCTATGGGAGGACAGGAAAGCCAAATATAACCTCACTTGCCAAATGGAAATAAAGAAAAACATTTAAAAGGTGAGAGGGGCGAGGGCTGCGCTCAGACACTGACGGCAGGTAATGGGGGGCAGGCAGGTGGGGGTGAGGAAAAACAGGGGGAGGGGGGGGTCTTTCCATCTTTCCTCCTCCCGTCCAAAATTATAACATAAAATATACAAAGGCGTGACATTTTAAAGGTTTTTATCTTTGCCTGATGGACAGAGGACATTAGGCTAAAAAGGAGGACATGTCCTCCTTTTGCCGGACATCCAGTCCAATCCCTTGCCCAATAGGTAAAGGTAAAGGTTCCCCTTGACAATTTTTGTCCAGTCGTGTTCGACTCTAGGGGGCAGTGCTCATCCCCGTTTCCAAGCCATAGAGCCAGCGTTTTGTCCGAAGACAATCTTCCGTGGTCACATGGCCAGTTCGACTTAGACATGGAACGCTGTTACCTTCCCACCAAGGTGGTCCCTATTTATCTACTTGCATTTGCATGCTTTCGAACCGCTAGGTTGGCGGGAGCTGGGACAAGCAACAGGAGCTCACTCCGTCATGTGGATTCGATCTTACGACTGCTTGGTCTTCTGACCCTGCAGCACAGGCTTCTGCGGTTTAGCCCGCAGCGCCACAGATAGTTGTCAAATTTTCTCTTCAATGCTTCCAGCGCTGGAGTGCTCACCACCTCCCAAGGTAACTTGTTCTAGCAGTTAAGAAGTCTTTCCTGATATTCAACTGAATTCTGGCGTCCCTTAACATGAACACATTATTACACATCTTGTTCTTTGGGATGATCAAGAACAGATCCTGCCCCTCCTCTGTGTGACAATCTTCCAAGTTTTTGAAGGGGGCCATTATGTCTTCCCTCAGTCTTCTTTCATCAAGGCTAAACATGTCCAATTCTTTCATTCTTTCCTCACAGGGCTTGGTTTCCAGTCCCTTGATCATCCTTGTTGCCCTCCTCTGAACTTGTTCCAGTTTGTCAGCTTCCTTCATAAAGTGTGTTGGTCAAACTGACTCAAGAAGAGGCCTAATCAGTGCCGAATAGAAGGGAAATTAGTACTTCACAGGATTTGGAGGCCATACTTCTGTTAATGCAGTCTAAAATAGAATTGGCTTTTTTGCTGCTGCAGCATCACACTGTTGGCTCATAATCAGCTTGAGGTCTACAATACTTCCAAGATTCTTCTTTCATGTCGTATTACCAAGCCACATATCCCCCATCTTGTAATTGTGCACTTGGTTTTTTTTCTCTAGGTGTGGAACTTTACACTTATGCCTACTGAATTTCATTCTATTGTTTTCAGACCAATGCTCAAGCCTATCAGATCTTTTTGAATTTTGTTTCTGTCTTCAAGGTATTAGCTATTCCACCTAATTTTGTGTCATATACAAATCACAGTGTGGATTTCAAGCTAATAGGTCCACCACTGACATGGTATTTTCCCTCAGACAGTTGCAAGACAAATGTAGGGAGCAACAACAGCCAGCCTTCATAGATCTTACAAAGGCCTTTGATTTGGTTAGCAGAGACGGCCTTTTTAAAATACTGCCCAAGATTGGATGTCCACCTCGACTCCTTAACATCATCAGGTCCTTTCATGAGGAAATGAAGGGCACTGTAGTTTTTGATGGCTCAACATCAGATCCCTTTGACATCATTGAACCAGATGCAAAAGGGCTGAAGATACTAAACCAATTTCTGAGGATGTATGGAAATTTTTCAAGTATTTTGGGTTACTCTGAGTTTGTGCAGGCTTGGTTTGCAACGAGGAGTAACAACTTGCCTGTACATATTTTCCCTGATCACCCAGAAGTAAGGGACTCAGAGTGTGCAAGGGAAAGCATGACCTAGGGGGAGGCATTTCC